TCACTTGGCGGATTTCATCGACACTCAATGGGCTGAGCACTGTATGCAGGTTCGGAAGATCACGCAGATGCTTGTTTCTACAAGAGTTATATGAAATCAAGGGAACATACAAGTACGATGCAAACCTTATGAACAAAAAAATCTCAGAAGACAAGGAGTACCAAAAAAATTCTCACTGCTCTTGCTGTAAATTTGCAGACTAACCTACCTAGCTACTGTAACGGGTGTGTGGTAGTGTCCTTTAAACTGACTGGTTTGGGACTTCATGATGTCAAGTTTAGCTTGTACAGTCTTCAAAAAGACATTCAGTTTTCGAGGAGCACAATTCGAAAGCTGTATGACCAATTTTCTGGAAGACCACTGTGGAATAAAGCAGTTTACTTCACTGAACAAAATACCTCTCCGGAACTTCTATAGATGCTTTTCCTTCCGAAATCTTTCTCTGATGTATAACGCAATCTGTGAGTCCATAAGAAGCAACTGCTGGTCGGCCGCCCGAAGCTGTACCCAGCTCTACCTGGAGCACAATCTGACTGAAAAGTTTGAACTACAATTACCCTTTGATAAGTGTATAAGAAATCCTTTTACCTACCGTGCCAAATCCCTCCCAATAGTGAGGACAGATGACTTTGATGTAATTGAACCTTGCTTATGCACATTTGATACAGATTCGACTCGAATATTGCAGTTCAAAGAGTAGCAATACGTGCAATTGGAGGGACTATCTTGAGACAAGCTCGCCGAATTCATTCAGTTTGCGGCACACTGAAGATAGTTTAGGAGCAGTACGAAAATTATAAAACACTCGCTGTGAACATTTATTTCAGTGTAAGCAGAACAAAGAAACAAAAGAAAAACTCAAGTATACAATGCCATGCACCTCTAGCTTCTAACGTATCAAGTAAGGGTGAAGATATGAACTGGTTACAGTATTGAGTAGTCAACACGTCCTATGGTTCTTACTACTAGCAGGGAGAGATACAGCAGAAGCATTGCGCAGCCGAGTGCATGAAAGACTTCAAAGGCAAGCTTCATCACGGTTCTACAACTGGGAGAAAATTAAAATTATTGTTTTGGTATGGAGAAGTAACATGATCAAAGCAGCTGGCGACAGGTTCAAATATTGCAAGGTTACCGCGGCGTGCGGTAGGGCACCTGGTTGGCATCCGCGCGCGTTGCTTTAGCCAAACTACCCTGCAACCAACTTGGTTACCATTCTCAATCTCAACCGGACAAGTAACCACGAGTTTCACAGACACAATGCGTTGGTTCGTACGAGAGCACACAAAACCCCAATCACCTTAGAAAACAAATGTTGAGAGATGCCTAGCGGAATGCGCAGCGCCTAGAATCTGTATTCGAAGATATGTTCTGGAAATTGCTCCTTCAACACATGCGGACCTGACTTTTTCTCAGTAAAAGAGAGAACTGCTCACCTATTGTTTATGATTAGGGAGCATCTAAATAACAACACAGAGAAGTTTGAAACTTTTCCGACAACAAATGTCTTTATTCCTAAATTTTTCATCCCATTTGCGCTGCCGTTCGGGGCAGTATCTCAACTAGGACCTCCTCATCAGGTTTCAGGCAGAAAACTCATGTGCCCAGATTTGATAGGGCGAAACGAGGTTTTGCGTGGCGATATAAGAAATGCGTACACCGCTGAAAATCTGCGCACACACTGACACTGCCTTTAAATGCAGCGTCCAGGCAAATCTGGATATATGGACACCTTACGTGGAAAGCAATCTTAGGACCCTAACTAAGACA